TTTCATTGTTACCCACACCCCCTTTCGGGTGTCACCAAAACATGCATGTGGTCAGCCTCTGTTGCTCATATTCATGGTGCAGAGTTGTATGTCCAGGGGGGAGGGACCAGCAATGAGACTAGAGAAATAGGCAGGGGTCACATGAGAAAGAGGCTATGTTAGACTCAGGAGTGGAAGAAAGCTACAGGGGAGAGGGTCAGGTGGGGTCTGGCAGAATAAGATGTGTGCTTTGAAAAGACTACTGGAGCCCTAGCTGGTTTGGTTCAGTGGATAGAGCACCAGCCTGCAGACTGAAGGGTCCCAGGTTCGATTCTGGTCAAGGGCATGTACCTTGGTTGCGGGCACAACCCCAGGAATGGGTGTGCAGGAGGCAGCTGATCGATGTTTCTCTCTCATCGAAGTTTCTAACTCTATTCCCTCTCCCTTCTTCTCTGTAAAAAAATAAAATAAAATAAAATATATTAAAAAATAAAAAAAATAAATTGGGCAATCATAGATGTGGATTTCCTGATCATCTCCAATGGGCACTATCAACGTCCCCCTGAGAGTGGTACATTTGTTACAGTTGATGAACCTACACTGACACATCATAATCACCCAACGACCATAATTTACATTAGGATTCACTCTTGGTGTTGTACATTCCAAGTGTTTGGACAGATGTATAATGATATGTATCTGCCATTATAGTATAATACAAAGTAGTTTCACTGCCCTAAAAATCTTTTGTGCTCTGCCTATTCATCCCTCCTTTCCCTAATTCCTGCCAACCTGATTTTTTTTTTTAATATATTTTTATTGATTTTTTACAGAGAGGAAGGGAGAGAAATAGAGAGTTAGAAACATCGATGAGAGAGAGACATTGATCAGCTGCCTCCTGCACATCTCCCATTGGGGATGTGCCCGCAACCCAGGTACATGCCCTTGACCGGAATCGAACCTGGGACCTTTCAGTCCGCAGGCCGACGCTCTATCCACTGAGCCAAACCGGTTTTGGCCCAACCTGATTTTTTTAGTGTCTCCATAGTTTTGCCTTGTTTTGGACTTGTATAGTATATAGCCTTTTTAGATTGGCTTCTTTCATTTAGTAATGGTTTGACAGCTCATTTCTTTTTAGTGCCAAATAATATTCCATTGTCTGGATGTACCACAGTTTATTTATCCATTCACCCACTGAAGGACATCTTGAGGGCTTCCAAGTTTTGGCAAATATGAATAAATCTGCTATAAACATCTGAGTGCAGATTTTTGTGTGGATATAAGTCCCCCCCTCCAATAAAACATGAAAATATTTATGTCATATCTACACAATTTAAGTGTCAGCTATAATAAATGCTGTATCTTTTAAACAAGCTAGAAGGATAAGGAATGTTATGTTCAATCTGTACATTCTCTGCAGCATTAGCATGGAAGATGGATGTTTAAATTGGGCAATCAGCCCTAACCGGTTTGGCTCAGTGGATAGAGCACCAGCCTGCAGACTGAAGGGTCCCAGGTTCGATTCTGGTCAAGGGCATGTACCTTGGTTGCGGGCACAACCCCAGGAATGGGTGTGCAGGAGGCAGCTGATCGATGTTTCTCTCTCATCGAAGTTTCTAACTCTATTCCCTCTCCCTTCTTCTCTGTAAAAAAATAAAATAAAATAAAATATATTAAAAAATAAAAAAAATAAATTGGGCAATCATAGATGTGGATTTCCTGATCATCTCCAATGGACGCAATTTTTGGGCCATTTCCATTGTATTTTACTCCCCAGACCTGATCCTGGTGATCTAAGAAGGTGTGGACACAAGTCTTCGTTCCAATGTCCTAGACTTTCACACTCTTGTCAGATGAATGGGGGAAAAAGTGAGTATTGTCAGGATAGAACGCTACATTCAGCACCCAGGACACTGGTGCCAGGACTCAGAGTGCCAGCTAAGTTGGGGTGTTGTACATCGTAGATCTTGTTGTAGCCATCATCTGAAGCAGTGATGAGGAGCTTGGAATCTGGGGAAAAGGTCAAGGAGCGAATGGGCATGGCACGGCCTTCCAGCATGTGCAGCAGTATCCCGGTTGCAATATCAAAAATATTAATGATCCCATCGATGGCTCCACCAGCCAGATACCTCCCATCAGGACTATAGGCAATGCTAAGAATGAATTGTCCAAAGAATATTCCTTTTTCCCACTTTCCACTTAAAAATTGTTCACTTTCCCCACATGAGTTCCTGTGGCCAGATACTGGGAATCGGGAGAAAAGGCCAAAGTCCAGGCATCCACCCGTCCTGCATTTATGGACTTTATCTGTTTGCCATCCTCCAAGTCCCAGAGACAAATGTGGGCATCGAGAGAGCTGGATGCACTGATGGACAGCGTGTGGCTGATGTCCATAGGCACCATGCTCAGCTGAGGTCCCTCCAGACCCCACTCCAGGTCCAGCCTCTCATCACGCCATTTCCAGACTTTCACCAGGTCACCCAGGGACCCTATGACCACTGTCTCAGAGTTTTCTTTCTTGTTTGTCCCCCAGGCCACTAAGTGACATCATCATGGGCTTGCTCTTGTTTGAAGAGAATACTATACTAGTTGGTCATTTCCTTAGCCAAGGATGAAGGGCCAAAGGCCAGACATCTCGCCTCACTGCCCCCTCACATAGCACAGGCGCATGTCTAACCTGGACATACGTTTTTAACTTTTGGACAAATACTAAGGAGCAGAAGACAGCCGAACAATGATTTCTCTCTCATCACTGATGTTTCTCTCTCTCCCTCTCCCTTACTCTCTGAAATCAATAAAAAATATATTTTAAAAAAACATTAGGGAGCTCACAAAATCTCTGGGAAAGTCAAAAAGCCAGTCAGGCTTGGAGATCAAGTAACCAGGAACATTACTTAAACCACAGAGAGAGAGATGCTCAACCTAGGATGCTACTGAACGAAAACACAGTTGACATGAATACTACAACTCATATTGAGAGACGAGTTGGGAGCCGAAAACAAGGTTTACAGGCTCTATTAGGGGGAAAAGACCTGCCGGGCTGTTTCGCAATGGGAGAGCAGCAAACGGTGCAGAGGTGAGCATGCCTTTTGAGGGGAGGAATGGGAAGGAATGGGCGCACACTGATGGCTTAATGTATGGTCCATATAGGAGCAAGGGCTTAGGGCAGTTTGCCGACCACTGGCTTAGGATATTTGGCAGGTGTTGATTGGTGGTTCAATGTATAGTCCATATAAGGTACATGGTTAGTCACTCAGGTATTTGGGGCTGCAGGTATGGTTAGTCAGTCACTCAGGTATTTCTAGGCTGCAGGTTAGATCATACTCCGCCCACCAGTTGGGGGAAGGGAGGATCTATCACGTACAGTTAGCACGGGATCAGATGGCCAGAAAATCTGCTGCTGCCGCTGCTCATCTCTACCATTATTTCTCTCTCTCTCTTTACATTTTTTTTAAAACATTTATTTTTTAGAGAGAGGGGAAGGGAAAGGGAGAGAGAGAAAAACATCAATGTGAGAGAGAAACCAATCGGAAAATTGGTGATTTTAGGTAAAGTGAATTACCAAAATGATGAAGGATTAAAGGGTGAACTTGTACTGCTCTTATTTTACTGAGTAGGTTCTACTGATCTCCTGTACTGGGGGCTCTTTAGATGCCTAGTGTACCCACTTTGTCTCCAAAACCATAGAGATAGGGCTGGAGGCAGCTGACCTCGCAGATTTTAAATGAAACTGAAATGAAAGTTCACTTCCTCTTCGTGGATAACTCATGTGACAAGTTCCAATTTCTTCTTAAAGTCAAATTTAGCTGAAGTCTCTTCGCTGCCTTTGAAATCTTTGGAGAGAGACCACCTTCAAGCATTCTTAATATGGGAGCACCTGCTGGGTCCAATATGTATGTACTGTCTGGGTTTTGTTTTCTCGCATTTGGTCTTTAAACCCTTTCTGTTTTCAGCTTGCTCTGCCTGCCAGGTTTTAAATCTTCGGTTTCAGGAAGTAAACTAAAAAATCAAATGGCTCAATTTGCTTCTTTGCTTTGGACTAAAAGGAATTTATTTTTGAAAAGTTAAATGTGTGCTGGACATCTAAGCCTGAGGCTGAAATGTAGTTTTCTTTGGCTTATAATTTGAAGATTTACATGGTTACAATTCCAGTTATTTTGAATTAAAAAGAAACGGAATTAAAAGGACAATCCAGTTTGAGAAAGGGTTAGTCACTGAATTTCTGTTAAAATGTTTTTGTATTAAATAGATAAGTGGTGTTTTCAAAAGAAGTTAATTGCTTCCTTTGAAATCAATATTTTGATTGCTGGGGGGAAAGTTTAAAAAATTAACTCAATAAAATGACCTTTGGATGTGAAAAGAATACTTGGGAGTTGTCTTTTAACCACCTCTAAATGTTGTGAATATTTAAATCGGCCAGTTAAGAAGAACTCACACATTCAAAAATTCTGAGAATAAATGATTTTTCCGAGGTTTGCCTTCCCCTTAATAAGAAAAGAGGATTTCCCTTGATTAGATTTGTTGGCAAATCCTGGAAAGTCCCTGCTTCCTGCAACAATGCCAACCCTGAAAGTGAGTTTGGTTTACCAAATACCAGGAAATTTCTGAAAATCGCTTTTTAAAGAGCTAATAAGCATTAGTAGTAGTATTTCTGACATGAATCTGCAGTTATTCCCTGTGACTGACTATACAGGGTGGGGCAAAAGTAGGTTTACAGTTGTTTGTATGGAAAATAATACAATAATTCACAAAATTAGCACAAAAATAAATTTTGTACATGAAACAGTGTTTATTACAAGAATAAACTCTGTACACGAGTTTATTCTTGTATTATTATTTATTACTTAATTATTGTATTATTTTCATACGAACAACTGTAAACCTACTTTGCCCCACCCTGTATATCCTCCCAAACTTTTCCTGTGTAATTCTGATTTGTAGTATTCTGTCCCTTTGACAGACTTTGCATTGCTATTTTTTGTTACGAAAGATATGGTCGCAATAGATGACTAACAGCTATACTCTT